CACACACACACACACACACAAGCCATGGGGTCTGGACTCGGTGTCTAAGATAAACAACAGCTGCTACCACTTAACACTGTTGTCAATGGGCTACCAGCTTCTGAGCACCTACTATGTGCCAGGCCTTGGGGCTTTCACACATGCTACCTCATCCCCTGTCACAGGCCAGCCCAGCCCACCTTGTCTCCCCTTTGTGGATCTCCAGCTCCTGGGGGACAGAGGTTGCTTCCTACTTGGCCTTTTAAAACCCTCATGCTGCCAGGCACACAGTAGGTGCTCCTTGTTTGTGGGGCCCAAGGGGAGAGCCACCTGCCCCAGGAGAGAGGACCAACGTGCATGCAGGGAGGGCGTGGTGGTCTTCTCTGAGCTTGGCTTCAGAGCTCAGTCTTGGGGAAGTCACCAAATCTCTAGACGCCCCTTGGCTCCGGCTACTTCTGGTCCTGTGGGACCAGGCTGATTGCCGTCTTGAGGGATGGGGGGGGGCCTTGGACCAAGCCCAGCCGTGGGTGTGAGCAGACCTGGGTTTGTGTCTACCAGCATCCATCTCAGTGATATTAAACAACTCACTCTCCTCTCCAGGCCCTGCAACTTCACCTATAACTCAAGATTATTAGAGCACAGGAGGTCTCAAGTCCCATTCAGTGAAGGTGGGCTGTCACCCGCACACCTCTTTCAGGAAATGCCACCATTGTTCTAGTCCTGCTTCCTGGCCCCCAAGCCCCATCCCCTTCCTATGACCTAGGAAGCCTCTTCTCTTGATCTCACAGGGACCCCTGGTTTCTGGCCTCCATTTCTTTGGAAAAGGCACTGGATTAAGAGCTAGGGGACCTGAGTATCAGTCCAGGCTCTGGGCTACCTGACACGAGACTCTGGGAAGGTGACTTCCTCTCTTGTCTATAAAGCAGGGGCTTTGGGACCCATCACCCTGTTGACACCCTTAATGCTTCTAGGGCTGCTCTGGCTCCGCCATGTCACTTCACAGCAGCTGGAAGCTTGAAACGCTTCCCCTGGGCTCCCAGCCCCCGGTCATCTGGGTCAGCAGGGCCTGGCCCTGCCTCCATCACCCTGCTCCACCAAGAAGCTAGGAGGACTTCAGCCACCCCAGGGTGCACATTTGTGGAGGGTGAAATATTTTCCCACCAGAGCCTCCTT